TGTGACACAGAGAAAAAAAAGTGAGAACATGGTGTTGGAAAAATGGTGCCAATACACTTGCTCAACTCAGGATTGCCACAAACCTTCAATTTATAAAAACACAGTTTTTTCAAAATACAATAAATCAAAGGGTAATAAAATGCATTATAACTATATTTAGAAATGATACTTCAATAAAAATGCAAAAATACAAAGCAAGAAAGTGACTGATGTCAAATATATATATATATTTATATATACATACACAAACACTATGTATATACATGCACACACACGTGTGCATACTATTTTGGATATGGCAATCTGAACTTCAGTTCTGAATCTACAATTGTCTCTTTCATTGTGCCTTTGTAGAAAGTGAGTCATTTAAATGAGCAGATTTTACAGATAACTATAACCATTTAAAGCACCAAAATATCTAATAATAACCACTTTTTAAGAAGAATCAGTATAAAATCTAAATAACATTTTACCACCTCTTTGCAAATCAAGTTTGACATGTTTAGGTTATAAAAGTAAACATTACCATGGTATAATATTCAAGGAATAGAAAAATGTATGAGGAAGAAAACAAAAACATCTATATTTGTGAAATTTAAGTACAATCACTATTAGTATTTCAGCATGATTTCAGTCTATTTCAATGAAATATATTTCTATGTGTAGATACCATTACATATCACATACTTAACATACTGTTTTACCTTGCTTTTTAAAATATATCATGATGCAATTTTTTATATTTCTCTGCCTAGACATATTATAAAAATGACTACTTATATTTTTATGTATTTTATCTGACTTTTAAGGTAATTTCTAAATAATTACACCATAATTAATTAACAAATTTGACCAGTTTCATAATTTTATTTATATTAAAAATTAAGAACACTTAAATTATAAATAATGGACTTCAATCTGTTTGCATAAATCCGTATATCATACTATGTCATTTAAAAGTGAGAACTGGATAACCATTCAGTGAATGCTATGTAATTGGAGATGATGTTTTATGGACTTATTCTATGATGGTTTTTACTTATTTAAAATGTGATCTCAGTAATGAGTATCTGTGAAAGATTAAAAATAGACACTGTCTAGTAGGTCCTTAATAGGGTTACATTTAAATACATGTCTATTTTTAGTATGTTTTCTCATACTGAATTTAGTATGCTAACAGTAGACACAATACCAATGAATCAATAATTAACCCAAAGTTTCAAATACATATACATTATTAAGTATGAGTGGGTAAGAAACTGTAAAGGGAAGATGAAACGCCTTTTAAAATTTCACAAAATGTGGAAACATTTATTATGGAATCAGAGTATTTCAAGGTGCCTTCCACCCTAGAGATCCTAGGAAACAGAACATTAAAACGGAGGTGACATCTACATTTATATTGAGTGATAGGTACAAAGATAACTACTAATTCAAAAATACTTTATATAGTTCCTCGTTAACACTGAGAATGATAGATGACAAATATAAACCCTTAGGGTTTTATTTATAAAGTCACATATGTTCATTCATATTGACGCTGATATGAAAAGAGACAGAGTGGATAAAAATAGTCAGGTATGAGAACCCAATGAAGCACTCAGAGAATGCTGAACACATAGTCAACTGGAAAGCAATCGGTCCTATATTCTGGGGCCAATTATTCAGAAAAGTGTGATGTACTTTTAAATTGTACTACACTTTAATTTCTTTAAACTTCAGTGGTGACCCAGTAACTCTACAAATTCCATGAAGGCAGGATCCATGAGCATTTTTTTTTTAACTCTTGTATTTCTAGCACCAAGTATAGTATGTGACACTTTCTAGGCACTCAACAAATATTTTTTTATTGAATGAAAGAAAATATAGCTTAGTTATAAAGTACGTTAAAATTATACATGAGACATTATGGATAAATTAAATGTATATATATATATATGAGAATATTTTATACACCTATCTATAGATCTATATCTATTTTTTATTTTAATTTTATTTTTTTACCTTAGGTGCATACTATATTTGGCATTTCTCCCCATGTTATCCCTCACGGATCTAGAAATAGAAATTCCATTAGATCTATATCTATTTATATATACATTATAAAATAGTTATAAGCACAAGTCTTTTTTTATTGTACTTTAGGTCCTGGGGTACATGTGCAGATCATGCAGGATTGTTGCATAGGAAGATACATGGCAAAGTGGTTTGCTGCCTCCATCCCCCCGTCACCTACACCTGGCATTTCTCTTCATGTTATCACTCCCCAACCTCCCCACTCCCTGCTGTCCCTCCCCTACCCCCCTCTACAGACCCCAGTGTGTGATGCTCCTCTCCCTGTGTCTATGAAAACACAAGTCTTACCAAAGTTTTAATCAATACTTTGTCTTCCCTCCAAAACTCTCATACTGAAATATTTTCACCCTCTAGTATAATAAACCTTAGCTAAGAAATTTTAAGAAATCAATATAAACTATTTCATAAAGGTGTTTAATATTTTCAAGGGATATAGCAAAACTTCCTGGGATTATGTAAGGACATAGGGGAGAGTGGTTTAATACCTGCATATATCATTCCAAATAGACTAGGTATCTCTATAACATTGGCCTTCAATTTCACCATTTGTTCTTGTTCTATTTCTGGCCTTCCAAATTAATGTTTTTCATTTTTTAATGAATAATCTTCAGTGTAGTATCTTTAAGAGCTCTGGCTGTGGTAGATGGGACCACACTGAGAGATATTTATTGGTTGGTCATTTTAAGTTGAGTGTTACTTCTGTAATTTGTATACATTACACTGAATATTTACTTTGCTCAAATAAAAGGAAACTTTTTAGAAATTATCAACAAAATAGTGTGGCATTTTGTCTGCAAATATTTCTATATAAATGTTTATGTCTATATATAGGTATTAAACATATATATTCATTTTACTTTTGCTAGGACATTCAGCATGACAGTTATTAAAATATGTTATTTGTCTAATGATTTTACTAAAATACCACAATTGCCATTCTACATTCTACATATCAGGAAAATGGTCCCCCACTGAAATATGAAAGCAAAATTTTGTACACATTTTTCACCTCAATAGGTTTTGTTGCTCTAGATGATTTAGGCATCTTTAATATTTTATTCAGTGAATGTTGGTATAACAGGATGGCAGTTTGCTCATCACAGCTTCATTGAATTTCTTTTTATGGCATTTAAATAATAAATGTCACTTTTTAATAAACTGGCATTTTAAAATAATATTCTGGTATATTTTCTCATTTAAATATGTATGTATAAGTCTGCTTTGATTTGAAGATTTCTGCTATTTTTAATGGAGCTTTCAATGATCTCTCACTCAAATTTAGAGGTTCTTTTCCTTTCACTCATCAGAAACAAATAAATGCAAACTGTAAATTGAGCCGGAGATGCCAATGTCCACAAAACAGACTTCTGTCAATACATGGAGCTTTTATGGTGTTGGTGGGAATCACTGTATTTTATTTCCCAACCTCCATTGAACTGCCAGAACTCGATGTGAAAAATGAATGGAAGCTCATTTTTAATGTAGAGAGCCTTTTCACCAGTGTCCAAGCTACTGTTCAGTAACTAGTTACTTGGGAAAGGGAAGTAACATTTCTAACTGTGAACCTCCCTAAATCAATCAAGTATAAACTGAATGGCTTTAAATGTATTCAAATTAATATAATTTGTCACAGTATACAACTTCAGTTAATTCCTGCAGTAATAACATGAGGTAGGTTTTATCCTCATTTTGCAAATAAATGAACTGAAACTCACAAAGGCTAAAAACACTACCCAAGGTACAAAACCTAATAAGAGAGATAAGATTCCATCCCTGCCTTCCTACCTCAAAGCCTGTGTTTCTTTTCTACTCTTTGATGTCTCCCAGTAATCTTAACACTGTATTTAGAAGGCTGAATTTTAACTTAAAGCCTATAAATGTAAAGCCCTTTCAAAATTGCTCTCATGTTTACTCAGAAAAGTTGTTGACTATAAATCAGTTTTCACCACCCATTTACTCAGTATTTCTTAGAAAAAAAAAAATATCCTTACCATCTTATTCTACAGTAAAAACTCCTCCACTGCTATTTTGGGAAAATACTTATTGTGTTGAATAATTGGAGTGCTTTACATTAACAGTTCATTTTGCTTCAGCTCTAGCAAGATTTGAAACGTCAGCATGAGCCATTTCTCTATATTCTGGAAGAATGAGAGAGAGTAGGGAATATTTGAAGACTCCAGACACATACAAAGTGTCATCCAGACCAGAGAGAATGATACGTCAGTGCCTGGCAGAGAGCATAATGAGGTGGGGAAGCTAATGTCAGATGAACTTGGTGAATTAGGCAAAGCAAAAGAGCTTTTGGCTAACTAACATAAAAGGCCAAGAAAGCACTGAAGGAGTCTACTTTTTTCTGATAACGATGCCAGGTTGAATTTAGAAAACAATGTAGTGAGGATAAGCCATGTGGAAGATAGTACAATAATATTCTTGTATACACATGGTATGGTAAAGGCAGCTAATGTAAGCAAAACGTTTGATGTTTTTGGTTAATTAAACCCTTTTGTTTGACAGAAAAGGTTCGTAACATACTCTGTAATCATTCTATGTTGTTAGGGTAAAATATGATTTTATAAGTTGATTACTATATCATATAGTTAAACTTTAAATTTTACTACAGTCTTCATGAATTAAGTAAATTGGCTACAATTATGGATTTTATATTTTATGTTAAGAAATCAAGAATTCATACTATTTGAAATAATTGTAGTGTTTTCTCTAAGCTACAATTTTCCTTTGATACTGATCAAAAGGAACCACTGTTTTTCATTTATTGATTAAAATATCTTGTGTGCGTATGATGTTTTATCAATCTAAAAGGATAGCGAAACTACAAAGCAACCAATAATAGAGCATTGAGATGTTCTCCCCAGTAGCTATGATGAACTTGCTTCAATCCTGTCAAACTATTTAACGTTGTACACTTTATTTTTTCAGCTTTATTAAGGCATAATAGACAGATAAAAATTATATATATTCAAGGTATACATGATTATTTTATACATGTATCCATTGTGAAATGATTGCCACAGTCAATTCAACTGACACATCCATCATCACAATTAGTTATCATTGGCGTGCGTGTGTGTGTGGTGGAAACACAATCTACTCACTTTGCAAATATCAAGTAAACAATGTATTATTATTATTAGCTATTATTACCATGCTTCTCCCAATAGCTTATTCAGCTTATAACTGAAAGTTTTTACCCACTAACCAGCATCTCCCTGTTTCCACCAGCCCCAACCCCTGGCAACCACCGTTTTTCACCCATTTATTTGTTTATGGATACTTCTTTTATACACTTGTGACATATGCTATGTTGAATAATTAATTGGAAATTTCTAGATTAAAATATATCTGATCTTTAGTTTCTGACTAAATCGCTCCAGATATCCTATAAATTATTATAAACCTGTAGAAAATTCTAAGAACATGCAAAGCAATAAAAAAATTAAAAAGAGACAAAAATTTTAAAAAAGATAAAATGAAGGCCAATATATGGGCTAATGAGACTAGATTAAGAAACTAGAAAAAGTCTACCTCATGAAAGTAAGATCATCTGTGAGTAGAAGTGAGGTTAACCAACTCAGTTATGGCCCATTCAGAATCCTAGGATCTACAATAACCAGAATTCTAGACAACCATGTCTCTACTGTGAAGGTGCTACTTTGTGAGACAAACAGAGTATTCTTAAACTCATCCATCTTTCTATGTTCATTGAGAGATAGCAACTCCCAGAAAAATTACTGGACAGGCAATTGGTAGTTGTACATTTTATCTGGTGAATATGTAAGACCTAGCTGAAGTGCAGTAGTGTGATCTCAGCTCATTGCAAATTCTGCCTCTTGAGTTCAAGCCATTCTAGTGCTTCATCCTCCACAGTAGGTAATTTTTGTATTTTTAGTAGAGATGGAGTTTCACCATATTGGCCAGGCTGGTCTTGAACTCCTGACCTCAAGTTATCCTCTTGCGCCTTGACTTCTCAAAGTGCTGGGATTGCAAGTGTGAGCCATGGTACCTGGCCAAAAAAGAGAGAGAGAGAGAGAGAGAGAAATTCCAAATTTTTATTATACATTATGGAATAAGTGGGGTGCAAAAAACAAAGTGTTGCCGAAGGAAAGCAAAACTACCTTAAGTGCATGGCATATAAAAAACTGGAAACAGGATAAAAGCACGTGCACATTAACTGTTCTCTATGGACCAGAAAAACTAACCATTCTTTGAGTTAGGCTAGACTGAAAACAAATAGATCACTGGTTCTGTTGTTAAATATTTTGTTTGAAGAGTATTTTTGTCATTTGAAAATGATTAAAAAAGGAAAACACACAGCAATTTAGCCTCACCTAAAATGCAAAAGAAGAGAATATCACTGCAAATAAGATCCTGCAAGAGCCAGAAGAAAATATGTAAAATTTCTTCGACATCCTAAACATAGTAGAGAAAACCCATGTCATGAGATACAAGAGCACAAATGCATATGGATAACAGACTGAGATGTATAGGCAACAAAAATAGATAAAAACGAAAATAAGCAAGACAAGGAAGAGTTTCCGTGTACCTCAAATGCAATAAAAGATAACAAACTTAAAAGACACATTGGAGTTTCTTAAGAGAAAAACATACTGTAGAAGATAAAATTAGTAATGTAGACTGAAAACTTATTTTTACTGGAATCCAGAGACAGTGAAAAGGGATAAAATGGGAGAGAAAATTGTAGCTATGGAAAAAAGAAAATGGAGATCTAATCTATAAATAATTGTCATACCTGAGGAAAAAATTTACCAAAAGTTTAAATTAAAAATATGGTAGAAGACAACTTTCCAGAGGTGAAAAAATATGCATATTGAAAGAGATTACCAAATTACAGGCAAAAATAATGAAAATAAATACATATTCTGAAATTACTTCATCATTAGGAAAAATTTGAAAGTTCTACATGCATTTAAGATGTGGGAAAATATTAAATATAATTTTGAGAATACAGCCTGGCTCCACATATCTTAGTCCTGGAGGAAATATAACAGCATCTAAAGAGATCTGATGGGAAAAGGATTTGACAGGTCTTTTACATTCAGTCATGATGTATGAAGGCAATAGAAGTAAATCTTCAGATATAGAAGGGCTCAGAAAATTTACTATCCACATAGACTTTTCAATAGTTATATTGGGGCTTAGTTAAGCCTATTGAGCCTATTTTTAAAGTCAACAATGTGAAAATTATAGTATTATGAGACTAGCAAAATTTTCTTTACTCAATTTGAATGTCACTTTGGGTATCACATTGAGATTATAAATTTTAGGTGGTTTATGGAAACTCAGTGATAGCTTACAGCACTATCATAAGATAGTATTATTTGATTTCACCCTTTTTTCTATTACCAGGAAATGTGTTTTTTACATGTTTTTTATTTCACTGTTCAGATGAAATCTCTTGTCATTTTAAATGACAACTTTTACAAAAATTATTGGTGATGTACTATTCCAGAACTTGTTTCAGTATATAAACAATTTACATAGCTATTGTTTCAGAGTATTGTGCAGGAGAATTGCTGAATAATTTCCATTCTCCACAAAATCATACCAGAATAAAGGAATAAATATAATAAAATATTTATGATGAAGGAAGATGACTAATAGTTTACAGAATCTTTAAAACTCATTGACAATCTTGATTAATTTCTGTATAGATTGGTGCTTTGTGATTTACCACATCTAAACTCAGGTGGGATATCGATAATGCATACAGTAACTGATAGAGTTATGAGAGTGGTTGGAAAATACTAAGGTGAGTCCTCTACACCAAAATATCTCCTCATTGGCATGGCAGTATAAAATCTAGTTTAAAAAAAGACAAAAATCAGTCTGAATTCATAATCTTCCACCTCAACTTCAGCAACACAATAATTACATTGATGTCAATATTGATGGCCCAGGTATACAATATTATTTATTTATTTATTCAATAAATAATTGTTGAACAACTCTCATGTACAAAGAACTTTCCTGAAAACTAGATACAGAGCTGTGATAACCTTGTTCGGTGATCATCTCTTTTCTTAATCATATTCTTAATAACTTCTTTACTCAAATATATTAAATATTTAAACCTTCCTCATTCTTACATTTTAACCATCTCCTGGACTTAAGTCACATCATATTCATATCATGATACAATACCAATAATTCCAGTTCCATTCTTACCATTTTTCTCAATTCCTGGTTCTTTTTATTTTCTATTCTAACCCATTACTAGTATAAGAAATGATATAATACATAGTTAAGAGATTATCGTTCAGAAAATACTAACAAGTCAAATATGTATTTTACCAAACGAACAACACAAACAAAAAAATCTGCATCCAAATGCTACATATGCATTAGATGCTGATTTTTCAATGCCATATGAAAAGAAAATAATATCCAAAAACTGGGGAAGGAAAAAAATTCTACCATTCTCTTTACGGGCATTTCTCCACCTCTTCTTGGGACCTTGGAATTCAGGTCTTTGTTAGGTTATGTCGAATCCCATCTTTGTAAATATACATACAACTTTGAAGCCAAAATTTAAAAATTACCTTGAAAAAAATATTTCCTTGTCCAGATCATTCTTACCAACACTATTCAGGGATTTTATACATTAATTTACTGCCAGTTTCCAATTATATGTGAAAGCCAGTTGACTTGTACCATTGAAGAAATACGAGTGTGTGTGTGTGTGTGTGTGTACTGCCCATAAATATAACTTTGAGGGTGATGATTTAGATATCACCATATTTTCAGAGGGAAAAAACCTCAAAGTATCACATATGCTGAACTAAAGATTCAGTGAAGCTGGAGGAAATCTATTTATGGGATATATTTTAATGTGATGAGATAACGGGCACCTACAAACAACCAGCAGAAAGTCAGAAGTTACAGATAGAATAATTGATTTGACCAGAAAAACTTATTGAAATTTCAGGTCATTTTACCACTTGTTTGTAGATATTTCTCCCATTTTCCCACTCCTCAGTGTATTTTTAAACATTTTAAATTTTATTTGTTTTGGGTACATTGTAGGTGTACGTATTTATGGAGCACATGAGATATAGTGATACAGGCATACAATGCACAATAATATCAGGGTAAATCAGTTATCCATAACCTGAAGCATTTATTTCTTTATGTTCCAAACTATTCAGTTATACTGTTTTAGCTATTTTAGATGTACAATAAATTAAATTATTATTTACTGTAGTCAACGAGGTGTGCTATAAAATAATAGATCTTATTCAGCATATCTAACTGTATTTTTATCCACATTCACTGTTCCCTTTCCCCACACCCCATTCCTCTTCCTGTCTTTTGTTAAAATTAATTATAATCTGTCTTTATGAGTTAAACTGTTTTTATACCTCTGACAAATAAGTGAGAACATGGGAAGTTTACATTTCTGTTTGTTTCATGTCACTTGACATAATAATCTCCAGTTCTATCCATGTTGTTATGTTGTTGCAAATGACTAGATCTCATTCTTTTTTGTGGCTGAATAACACTCTATTGTGCATATGTACCACATTCTCTTTATCTATTAATATGTTCATCTACAGTTAAGTTGCTTCCAAATTTTGGCTATTGTGAAGAGTGCTGAAATGAACATGGGAGTGCAGATGCCTCTTCCATATACTGATTTCCTTTCTTTTCTGTATATATTGAGCATTGGGATTGCTCGATTGTATGGTAGTTCTATTTTTGTTTTCCTAAGGAACCTCCAAAAATTGTTCTCCATAGTGGCTGTACTAATTCGTATTGCCACGAACAGTACACTAGGATTCCTTTTTCTCCACATCCTCACCAGCATCGAATATTGCTGTCTGTTGGAAAAAGCCATTTTAACAGGGTTGAGAGGATATCTCATTTTAGTGTTGATTTTCATTTCTCTAATAATCATTGATGTTGAGCACCTTTTCATATATTTGTTTGCCATCTGTATGTTTTTTTTTTGAGAAATGTATATTCGGACATTGTGTCCATTTTTAATTGGATTATTAATTTTTTTCCTATTGATTAATCTGAGCTCCTTATATATTCTAGTTACTAATCATTTGTCAGATCAGTAGTTTGCAAATACTTTCTAACATTCTGTGGGTTGTCTCTTCACTTCATTGTTTCCTTTGCTGTGCATGAGCTTTTTAACTTGATGTGATCCCATTTGCCCATTTTTTGCTTTGGTTGCCTGTACTTGTGAGGTATTGTTCAAGAAATTTTTGCCCACACTATTGGCTTGGAGATTTTCCCTAAAGTTTTCTTGTAGTGATTTCACAGTTTCAGGTCTTAGATTTAAAAGTCTTTAATTCGTTTATATTTGATTTTTTATATGGCAAGAAATAGGGGTCTAGTTTCATTTTTCTCCACATGGATATCCAGTTTTGCCAACACCATTTATTGAAGACATTGTTTTTTCTCCAGTGTATGTCCTTGGAGTCTTTGTCAAAACTGAGTTTACTGTAAATGTACAGATTAATCTTTGTGTTCTCTATTCTGTTCCAGTGAATTATGTACATGTCATTATGAAAGTACCCTGTGGTTTTGGTTACTAGGGCTCTGCAGTATAATTTTTATATTGGTTTATTATTTTAAACTTATTTTTATGTTCAAGAATCCATGAGAAGTTTTGTTATATAGGTAAACTTGTGTCACAGGGATTTGATGAACAGATTATTTCACCACCAAGGTACTAAGCCTAATACCCATTAGTTATTTCTTATGCTCCTCTCTCTCATCCCATCCTCCACCCACAAGTAGGCCCCACTGTGTTGTTCCCCTCTTTGTGTTCATATATTTTCATCATTTAACTCCTATTTATAAGTGAGAACAGGCAGTATTTTGTTTTCTGCTCCTGCATTAGTTTGCTAAGGATAATGGCCTTCAGCTCCATCCATGTTCTTGCAAAGGACATGATATTACTCTTTTTTATGGCTACATAATATTCCATGGTGTATGTGTGCCATATTTTCTTTATTCAGTCTTCCACTGATG